TATTACATTTTCTTTATTAAATTATTACATTTTTATTATTAAATTATTACATTTTTATTATTAAATTATTACATTTTTATTATTAAATTACTACATTTTTATTATTAAATTATTACATTTTTATTATTAAATTATTACATTTTTATTATTAAATTATTACATTTTTATTATTAAATTATTACATTCAACCAACTTATATATTTCTAATAGTAATACACAATCATGTTCATTTGCATTTGTCATTATTCAACTATTCCATGTTTTCTCTTGTTATTGCTCTTATTTTATTGTATTAAAATGTATAAATTAACATTCCCCCTTTCTCCTATTCCCATCTCTTATGCTGGCTTTTAGCTGTGTCACCCTTTATTAAAAGATGTTTTCTTTCTATCCTACCTAACTTCTATTCGTGTCACCTACCTAAAAAAGGAAAGAGGGGGGGGGAGAGAGAGGGGAAAAAAGAAAGAAAGAAAAGCAAATCAGAACAATAACAATAAAAAGAAATAATCTATCCATCGTTTCTGGCCCGCTTCAATACTTTAATTGCTATGCATTTTTTTAAAACTTGTCTCCCATATTCCTCTCTCGGATCTTTGATTCTGCCTGCATCTATTTTTTGGCTGTTCAATCTAGGCTTTTCTCTCCATCTCTAGCCTCTTCCACTGCCTACTTTCCCAAATTTCTGCCCAGGCTGGAGAATTTAGATTCCTTGAATTTGGTTCCCAACCCTCCTAATCGTTGCTTCACCATCTTTACTTGGCAGAAGACATTTCCGTCGTTTTCCGGAAAGATGCTTGGGAAGGCAAAGCTGATTTTTCCCAAGCGGATGTCCATCGGCAGATCGCCATCGTCTTCAAGACCCCCCCTTACCAACACCTGGACATCCTGGAGCCTGTGGAAGTGGAGGTGTACCTGCGTCGCTTGACGGACAGCGTTTCCAGCGAACCGTTCCCCTTCACCTACCTGCCCAAAGACACAGGTGAGACAGGAGATGGAGAAGCTGTCTATTTACACCATTAGTTTAGTGACGGTGTGAAGTTACAAAAAAGTGACTTAGGACCGTTTTTCACACTTACGTCCTTTATGGCATCCATACTGTCACATCATCAGAATTTGGAGTCCTAGTGGACAAGCATTTAAACAGGAGCCAGCCGTGTGCA